AGTGCAGATATTCCTATTAAGTCATTGTAGAGACAAGTGAAAAGTCTTGCTAGGTTAATATTTAGCAAAAAACTATTATGTACCGGGTACTGGTGTTCAGTTTATGTCCCTATATCATTTACTCCTCATAAAAATCCTGTGAGAGGTACTATTATCCCCATTTTGCTGGTAGGGAAACTAAATCTCTGAAAGGTAATTTGCTGAAAGTCATATGTGGCTAGTATGTAGAGGAGCTGGAATTTGAATCCACATCTGATTGACTGAATAATATGTACACATCATTATTTCAGAGAGTTAGATCATGGTCAAATTTATTAGACTGACACTTTCTTGGCTTTTTTTTTTCCCCAGTAATAAGCCAATCTAGAGGATATATTTGATTAGGATAAGAAATCAAGCCTCTTGATTGTGGACCTTTGTGATTTGGGAACCATATTTAAAAATTATCACTTAAAGTAGATCTTCATATTTAAAAGTGCTTTCATTAGATTTACTTTTTAGAGTATCAGGTAATTTCTCTCATTCTAAGCCAACTTAATCTTAAAGCTATTTGTCAATAGACTGAATGGCATTATAATTATCTCCACTGAGTATTTTCTGTATCTTGGCAGGAGCTGGACAAAGAGAAAGCCTGTTAGATAGCCACATTTATATATGCCACGTTAAGTGGAGCTAGAAACATTGAAATTTGAAGCTAGTGGTAGCGGGGGTGGAGGTTGAGGGAAAATAACTAAAACATGTATTTTGTATTCATTAAGAAATGACAGGCTCCATTTTTAGTTTGGGAGGAGTTGACCAGAGATCCAGCTTATTCAAGGTTACCTTCATAATCAAATAGCAGCTTACACTTTCAAAACTGTTTTTCACATTTAGTTCTCACAATGGCCCTGTGAAGTAGGCATTCTTATTTTACTGATGAAGAAGCCAGAAGTTTAACTGGTCACAAATGATGCCCTCTGGTTCTTTCCCATAATTTCTCTCAATTCCATGCTACATGTCACCCAAATATCTGCTTGTTCAACATCTATAAATAAATTTATTCAAAATTTTGTCCATGACTCTACATAGTCTTTGTTACATAAAGTAATTGCATTTGTTATGCAATGACACATATATAAAATGGCACCACTGAAGCTATCACCACATAAAAATTGTAATGCTGATTTATCAGTTTGTTAGAAATTAGAGATTAATTCTCCTCATGGGAAACCATAATAATATGCAGAATTGCATCAAATCAAAATTACTATGATTTCTGCCAATAACATAAGATTTTGTAATAAAAACTGGAATTATGTGGACATGGACTATTTTGCCATTGTGCAAGAAATTTTCTAGAATTTTCCTGAATTATACTGGCATTGAGACTGACTGTTTTCTTTTTTTTTTAACCCCAACAGGGAAACACTGGCCCCCTTGGCAGAGAAGGTATAATGGGCCCAACAGGTAGAACTGTAAGTTTGTCACAATACAGGTTTTTTTTTTCCTTTTTTATATATATATATATATTTTTTTTTTGTTTGTTTGTTTGTTTTGTTTTTTTTGTTTTTTTTTTTTACTTAATCCTATTCTAGAGTAATCCACAAGGGATCACCCTGGGTATTTGAGAAGCAAGGATAAAAACAGATGTACATTTTCATCTGGAAGGTTATTCTTGAGAACTTAGAAATCTAATGTAATGAAAAGGTGTACAGAGTGAGGTAGGCACTTAAAACTGGAGTTGAGAAAGGAAAGTAGCAGTGGGTGGAGGAGGAGGGGTTGAGCATTATAAGCACAGGGGTGATCACTAAAGCAACAGAAAGGATCCATTTTCTGAAAGAGGGAGAATAAGAAAAGGTACGCATGCAGCCAAGATTTGAGTCTTTGGAAGTGCCCACGATAAAGGGATGAAATAGTTGGTGGGAAGAGCAGGAAAACCAGAAAAGCACAAGGTTAAGCTCAGTTTCGAGAAAGGAGTAGCTAACCGTGATCTTTAAGAGAATACATTGCAGTGGAAGACGGAGTACAGCTTTCAGTGAGGAAGGAAGTAAATAAAAATATTTAATAACTTTTCTCAAACTTTTGGAGTAGGTATGATTATTTGCATTCAAGACATAAGGAAACAGATGACATTTATAGTAGTTCACCTAGTTATTTAAGATAATACAGGTAGTGAATCATATAGATGATATTTCCTACTTCAAGAGCAGTGCTCCTTCCACTCCATTCAAGCTATGTCTGGAGAGGAAACTGAGAGAGTTAACATATGCCAGGGCCTTAGGGAATCTTGCTATGAAATAAAACAGAAATAAGACAGTGAGGTGGTCACAGGAGGGTTTTACAATACTAACAGTAGTATAAACATACAAGAGGAAAACTGAGGCTTGGAAAGGAAAGATTCATTCTCTGCAGGGAATCAGTATTTTGAATCATTTGAAAGTGTTGTGTCTATAGACACAGAGTTTTAAAATATAAAAGAGAATGTTTCAAATATTAAGTATCACTGTTCTCATTGATAAATTTAGAGAAGAATTCACCACCAAAGTTTCTGGCTTTTTAATTTAAAAAAATGAAATGTGTAACTCAGTATTTCTCTAGATTTGCAGCATTTACCACTCAGAGCTATATAGTCTAAGTGGGAGGTTATAAGTGGGAGAAATCTCATATTTCAGTGGGTGGTTGGTTCTTCAGCAAGCTAAGGAACACATACTGTTCTGATTATGGAATGATTGTTCTCCTCTGTCAAAAATGTGAAATATTAATTGGTTAAGGAAAATATGATAAAGAAATGGCTCAGTTAAAATATCTTACTGTGCTTTGTTTACAGATAGTTCTTAAAGGCCCTTATAATGCTCAGCATGTACATCAAATTTTTTCCATCTATTTTTTCTATTCTAAGAAGAAACTTCTAAGGAAAGCTCACTATGAAAGAATAAGAATTTGAGAATGGCCAAAACACACTGTGGAAAAAAATAGTGGTGGGGGATGGAGGACTTGCTTTTCCAAAAAGGAAAACATTACTTCAGAGTCTTTGTAAATGACACTATGTGTTAGTACAAAGAATAGATCATTGTAACAGGCTAGAGCCCAGAATTAGATCTCAGACTAAATAGGAATTTAATTACAATGAAAATGGTATATCAGTTAGGATGATTTGGACTGCAAGTAATAGGAACCCTGAATCAAACTGGCATTAACAATAAGGAAACGTCTATCTCATTATGGGAATCCCAGAGTTAGGAAGGGCTTCAGATTTGGTTAATTTGGCGACTTAATCATGTTATCCAAGACTATTTCCATACATCTGCTCTGCCATCCTGAATGCTATCTTTATAATTAGGCTTAGGGCAAATGACTACAATTTCTCAGGAATCACATCTAGATACGATTATCCAAAGTGAAAAAGTGAACTGTATCCCTTGTCTTGGGAAAAATAAAACTTTTTCTATAAGTCTCCATTTACATTTTTTTTCCTCACGTCTATTAATCAGCCACACACCCATTCCTATAACAGTGATAGGGAAGGGAGACGAAATTCCTTTTAGTCTTACTACTGCTATAAGAAATTGTAACCCTATTTCACCCAATTTTTTAAAAATCTCAGATGAACTTTCAAAGACTTTGTTAAAAAAAAAAAAGAAAGAAAAGAAGCAATTAAAAATCTCAGAAAAATCATCTAGGAAACTAAAGTATAGCTTAAGGGTTGGGGAGACCTTTTATATAAGATAGGAAATGTGAAAACTATAAAAGAACAGAAGACATATTTGAATGCTTGAAAATTTTTAATTTTTATGGCAAAAGATTCCATAAGTAAAACTAATATAATTGAGAAAAAGTAATTGCAAAGCATATACCATATAATGGGTAATATAAAGAGCTTTACAAATTGGTGTGAAAAAGAAAATTTAGTAGAGAATTGAAGAATAAATCCAAAAGGTCAGTAATTATTTGAAAAACCAGTCTCCTAACTTTTAGTCAGAGAAATGCAAATTAAGGTAATAATGAGATATTACATCTAACCTCTCAGAAAGGGCTGTAGGAAGAAAGGTATTTTTGTTTATCACTAATAGAAATGTGAATTACAGCCTTTATGGAAAGGTATTTGTTAAAATATATGTACCTATACCCTATGACCAAGCAGTTCCACTTTGAGGAATTTGTCCCATATAAATAAAAGTACCCAATACACTAGGGAAATTTTACAAAGCTTTTTTTCACAGCACTGTTTGTAATGGCAAAAAAAAAAAAAAAAAAAGTATGAAATCACATGAATGCTCATCTGTAGAGGAATGGTTGAGTAAACTCTGATCTATCCACTTTGTGGGATATTAATGCAACTATTAAAAATAATTATTTGTATCTAGTTTGGCTGACTTGCAGTTGTTTCATGATGTATTATTAAGCGTGAAAAATATGATGCATAGAAGAGTATATGATATTAACATTATAAAAAATGACCAATCACCCCATACACATGTAAATACACGTGTCAATATCTGATTAGAAAAAAAGTATGAAGCGATATGTACCACGTTGTTAATACTGGATTGGAGGTGGAGGAGGGCATAAAAAAAGTTCTGTAAAGATATCTTAAAACTCAGCTTTTTAAAGTTGATATAGTAGTTTGAAATGAATTAAGGACAAGATAGGAAACACAAAAGAAGTAATATAGTGAATAATAATGAAACAGTATTTTTAGCCTGCAAGATTAACAAAAAGTGATAGTACATCATAGCATGTATCAGAAGAAACATGCACTCCCATATATTGCAAGTGTGAATGCAATTTCAAACAAACTTTCTGGAGGACAATTTTTATCAAAAATTTTTAAGAGTGCAAGGATATTTATCACAGTGCTGTTTATCATGACAAAAATTGGAAAAAAATTTCATAGGCAATTCATTTAAAATATCATACTTTTTAAAATACTGGTAAGCATTATGGTTAGGTGGGAATTGTAGATTGATATAGAAAAGCATTAATATTTTGAAGGTGCAAATTCAGGTTACAGAAAAGATGAGTAGTGTTATCTCATTTTTTAATAAATACACAATTTCCACAAGGAACATGAAAATATTAACAGGAATAACAGTAGTGACATCCAGCAACAGCAGAGTTCACATTGTCTTCAAGTGCACATGAAACATTCACTGAAATAAACCATATTTTAGATCATAAAACAAATTTTACTAAACTTAAAATAACAGAAGTCATGTAAGGTATATTCTCTGGCCATAACAGAATTAAACTAAGAATCAATAAACTAGAAAGATAATAGGAAAATCCCCAAACACTTGAAAATTAAACCTCACACTTCTAAATAATTCAAGGACCAGAGTGTCTCAAAGAAAGTTAGAAAATATTTTGAATTGACTGAAACTGTATACACAACGTATCAAAATTTATGGGATATAGCTCAGAAGGAGAAATTTAAAAAAAGAAGATAAAAGAGAAGGAGGAAACCACCCTGGAAGCAGGGTTTTTCAAAGGCTGAGAGAAACAAATATTAGAAGAATTTAACTTTCTTAATTTTCTTTCTAAATTATTTTGCCTTTGATTGTCAGATCAGCTGTTTTGACTTAACTGAATGAATAAGTAGCATAACCCTCACTTTAAGGTGGAACTAGGCATAGCAAAACAGACATGGTGAGTCAGTAGATTGTATTTGTTTTGCTTTAACTTAGGAAAATCAGAATTTATATAACTTTAAACAGGTCTTGCTAGATAGGAAAAAACCCAACAGAAATTATCATGTTTCTGGATACAGCCTCAATTATATTTGATAAATAACTATCAACAACACTAAACTAACATTTTTTTTTTCTTTCAGGGACCCAGAGGTGAAAAAGGCTTTAGAGGTGAAACTGTAAGTTTAACTAAATTTGTGGTAATAGTATCACTGGTCACTAGGTTATAAGCTCTATGAAAACAAGGACCTTTTTTGATTTTTTTCATTATTATGTCCCTGATACTTGTGGAATGAAAATAAAATTACAGTTTTCAGGAAGAAAACTAACCTATATGTAGAACTAACCTATATGGTATATTGCAGTGAAACCTGATAAGCCCTAAACATGTTGAAGAATCTGTCAGTCACATTCTTTCCAAATCACTGTGTGAAGTTGAATATTTGCCTTCTCAGGCATCAGGAGAGGAGGTGTGAGCCTTCTTCACCGGTGCCAGAACAGGAGGACTGTCAAGTCACTTTAGATATATACCACTAGATCCAGTCAGCACCCAAGAGGGCTGCAAAGCAGAAGCAAATCATTAGTTGTATATTTCAGCCAACTGGAAACAATGGTGAGAGGATGGGCAAAAGGTACACAGCATTTTCAGGACTAAATGGCTTACACTGGCACTATTTCCTATTTTTCTTGGATGTCAATTCTTCCAAGTTAAAGAAGATATTTTGTAAAGGGGCCACTGTCCCAGCAGAACTTATTAAAGCAGCAGTCATAAACAGAGGGCATGCATGGAGTGAAATGAGGGGTACTGAAACCAAATATAGAAGGCATATAGGAATAAACTTGAAGATAGCATTAAAGTCTTGCTTAAAAGGTCATGATATTATATAGTGACAGCTGAGATCTTTGCTTTTCACCATAGGGTAAGCTTGGGGCTCAGAGTAAGTAAATTATAGTTATATTAGTTTGCTGAGGAAGGAAATTTATGTGATTTCAGATAGCCTAAGAATCCTCAAAGGGTATTAAAATAGATGTGTTTAATTTGCAGCAATGTGTCCCTTATATTTTCTCAGCAGACTTACTTAACAGGAAGCAAGGATGTTTGCACACAGTGAAGCTATATGCCCCCACCCCCCCACCCCCCGCTCCCGCAGGAGAAGTGGAAAGGGAAAAGAAAAAATAGGGAGGCTTGGAATTAACCCATATTCCATACCTGTCTCCAACTGCCTCCCTGACCTATCCTCTCCAAGTACTGTGGCTAGAACGTAAGCTCCATCAAGATAGGAAACCTCGAGTGCCTATGACAATGGCTGTCACAAGCATTTCATGTGAAAAAAATTCCCTATTTGTACACGTATGTGACCTTCTTTCTCCAGATACAAAACATTAAGAAGAAAAATGATAAAAGGCTTGAAAATCACAGTTCTAAAGTGAATCTTGGAGATTATCTTCACCACACCTATTATGTTACACTCGAGATATCTGAGATCCAAATGTGCAGCAGCTCCCTCAAGGACATGCAGCTAATTAGGTACAGAGATAAGACCAGAGCCCAGATCTTCCAAATCCCAGGCTACTGTGCTTTTCTATTAATCATAGTACCTCTCAGAAAATAAGGGTTAGGAGCAACTTGGGTAAGGAAGATGGTATGTACACATCCTTCACCTACTTTAAGAGCAGCCCACATACAGATTCCACATGAATGGATTCCTGATATGCAGTTATCCCCTAGGGCTTATAGGGCATAACTCATGAATTCACTCATTCCATCTTAATCACATTACTGTCTAATAATAAATCTTATTTAATATTACTAAACTCCCAATCAAACCCTCTAAACCAGTGGTTCTCAACCAGGAGCCATTTTGCTCCCCCTCCCAGGAGACATTTGGCAATGTGTGGAGACATTTTTGGTTGTCACAACTGGAGAAAAGGGAAAGGTTGCTAGTGGCATCTAGTGTGCAGAGACCAGGGATGCTGCTAAGCATCTACCGTGCAAGCTTCTCAGTTTAAGAATGAGGAAAGGGAAGCTCTCTGTACATAAGCCAGCCTAAAGTAAAGATCCTGAAACTAAAGATTGCATTTATGTAAAGGCAAAGTCTAACACAGTCAGGTTTAAGGACATACACTTACCAGTATTTTTCAAATTTAATGAAAAAAATATGTTACTTTTGAAGGATCATATGGGAATTGTGGGATTAAATGGAGAGACAGTCTATTTTCAAAGGTAGTGCTTTCACTACAGCCAAATAACCACTATAACCATTCACATTAATTTGGTTCCCCTATAGGAAATTAACATAGACAATTGTAGTCTTATTATAAACTGTATGATAACCTTCTTTATATACTTGTTTATATAATATCTAGAGAGAGTGAATCACTTTTCCTTAGTGGTGGGTTAGGTAGAAGAATAAAAAAGAATAAATACTATATTGTTGGAATAATATTTTGTTTTACTTGGCCTTATTCTATGCATTTGCTTCACTGGGGTTGTCCTGTCCTGTCTTGTTTGGTTTGAAGTATTTCATTTTATCATATTTGTGATGATCTGACTCGTTCTGGGTAACAAGCTGAAGTGAACTCAGTAAAAACAGTTTCTTCTTTCTATGACAAAATGCTTTTTCACAGTCAAAGATAAGGTAGATATTTTGTACTGAACCTTCAGTGAGATTTTGCAAATGTCAGAAATATGCTAAATAGAGTAAAATGTCAACTGTTTATTTTTACAATGCTGATCCAAAATGGAGAAACTTACTCAGCCAATTTCACTCTTGAGCCTCTGTATATTTAAATTTATTTATTTATTTTTGGCTGTGTTGGGTCTTCGTTTCTGTGCGAGGGCTTTCTCTAGTTGTGGCAAGCGGGGGGCCACTCTTCATCGCGGTGCGCGGGCCTCTCACTGTCGCGGCCTCTCTTGTTGCGGAGCACAGGCTCCAGACGCGCAGGCTCAGTAATTGTGGCTCACGGGTCCAGTTGTTCCGCGGCATGTGGGATCTTCCCAGACCAGGGCTCGAACCCGTATCCCCTGCATTGGCAGGCAGATTCTCAACCACTGCGCCACCGGGGAAGACCGAGCCTCTGTATATTTAAAAGGCTGTCTCCAACATGAAATCTCCCTAACTTGCCATGCCACTTCTGAGGTAAAAGTCTGATGCATTTTCTGCTTTAACCTATAATCATAAACCAGGCAAACTAAGAAATGTCCAGCAGGCATGGTGTTGGAGTACTCTATCCTTTTTAAGTTACTATGTGTTGTTTGTTCTTATTGTCACAGTATATTTAGAATCAACAGCTTTGGCAATAAAAGATACTTAAGTCAAGCATAGCATTAACACTATTCAAAACTCAGTTGAAGATAAATTTTGCTTTGCCATCTTTTAACCATAATCTGAATTTGACTCGGTGTAGTCTTAACATTCAATTGACCATCCAGTAAGTTAAATTTTGAGCATTCTTAACAGTGATTACTGTTGTTTCATTTTGAAAAATGTCAGCATAACTTTTCACATTTTACTATATACCTTTCAACTATTCTAATTTCTAAATCAGTACTAGTTAATTTAAACATTATTCATTCATTCGTTACCAATCTTTGAACACCTACTATGTATTAGGCACTATTCCTGTTCCAGAAAATGAGAGGATGACTAAGACACTTTTAAAGGTCTGTAGGGACTTTCCTATTTGTTATGTACTATGGAATGCAGAAGTGGTTAGTTGAAGAAGAAGGTGGCAAGGTGGGTATATAGTTTTAAAGAAGTATTGGAAGAGGAATGGGAATTGAATAGATAGAAAAGGTAAGGAGAAGCATTCCTGGTCGAGGAAATAGCACATGTGGGAGAATTCATGTGTGAAAGAATTTGGATGATTCAGAGATCTGCAAGTGGTTGGTTACAGATGGGAGTGTAGGATGGGTTGGGGAGAGTAAGTGGAAATAAGGCCCAGACCTTGAAGAAGAGGCAGGGGTGCATATTGACTTAGAACATATACTTTTGTATTTAACTGACTTGGATTTTAATCCTATCTCTGCCCTTTACTTGCTGGTTACTTAGCCATTCCATTTTCTTAACTGTGAAGTAGAAATATAGCATACAACTTGGCATACAGTGAGTTCTAATAAATGAGCACACAGCTTGACACATAGTGAGCTCTCAGTAAATGGTATCTATCACTGAAAAGAAGTTTATACTTTATCCACTAAACAGTAAAAAGCCATTGAATGATTTTAATTAAATAATGATATGATTAGATTTCCATTTTATAAGTAGAATGTAGTTAGCATAGTAGAGAGAAGAAAGTCAGTAAGTCAAATTAGGAGTCCAGGCACAGCATGATATCTTAGTCAGCTGGGGCTCCTATAACAAATTGCTGTGGGCAAAAAAAAAATATTTATTTTTCATAGTACTGGAGACTGGGAAATCCAAGGTTAAGGTGCTCACAGATTCCATATATAATGAGGGTCCTCTACCTGGTTTGCAGATAGCTAGCTGCCTTCTTGCTATAACCTCACATGGTAGAGAGAGAGCATCTCTCTCGTGTCTCTTCTTATAAGGGCACTACCACTCACAAAGGCTCCAATGATTTAATTAGCTCCCAAAGACCCCACCTCTAAATATCATCACACTGGAGATTAGGGCTTCAATATATGCATGTAGGAGGGGACACAAACATTTAGTCCATAGCACATGATCAGCACTAAACTAAGAGAGTTGCTGTGAGGATGGAGTAGTAGTATTTTGGGAAGATTTGGAGGTCAAATCAACAGTAGTGGGTAACCAAATTATAGGTGGATGTTGAAGGAGAAGGAGATGTCTAAGGACACTGAAGTTTCCATTTTTTACAATTAGTTGTATGGTAGATAGAAATAACAGGAAAAATAGAATTAACATTGTTAAATGTTACATTTATAAGTTTATTAAAATGAATAAATTTAGTTTCTAGTAATATCAACAAAACATGAGAGTATATATTCAGCTTGTTGATGAATGTGGGTGACAGCTGAGTTCAAGAACATATTACTTCAAAATACTAAAATAACTTTGAATCCTATCACTTGCCTCATATGAGAAGGCAATGATAGCAGCTGAATCTTAGTCATCTTGTTTATACCAAACCAAAAGCATTGTATATATATATTGTACTTTGTCTCCATTTCTTCTAGGGTCCCCAAGGACCGAGAGGTCAACCAGGGCCTCCAGTGAGTTTATTTACATTTATATCTGTTTACCATTGATGCTTATATGCCTGCTTGGTTTGAGATATCTACTTAATACTTTAAAAATCTTTTTATGTTATAGGGTCCACCTGGAGCATCAGGCCCAAGAGTAAGTTTTCTTGGTTTTGTTTATTTTATCTTAGTATAAGATAATTTTTTAGGGCTTCCCTGGTGGCACAGTGGTTGAGAGTCCGCCTGCCGATGCAGGGGACATGGGTTTGTGCCCCAGTCCGGGAAGATCCCACATGCCGCGGAGCGGCTGGGCCCGTGAGCCATGGCCGCTGAGCCTGCGCGTCCGGAGCCTGTGCTCTGCAACGGGAGAGGCCACAACAGTGAGAGGCCTG